GGGGAAAGCAAGTGCAAAGGCCCTGTGGCAGGAGGGCTAACCAGGCACCTGTGTGGCTGGAATAGAGAGAGCAAGGGATGGATCGATGGGGCCTTGAAACTGAGATGGCAAATCTAGATTCTGGTCTCGCAGGAGGAAGTCTCTGCAAGCAGTGAGCAAAGGTAGACACCATCAGGTTCCTAATCTGGTCCTTCTGGATACTGGGAGGAGGATAGGTTTGGGGGTCAGGAACACTGATGTGGAAAGACCAGCTAGAGATGGGGTGGCTGGCTGGGGATTGCAGGGATGATGGTCAGGAACACGTGGTTCAGAGGCAAAGAGGAACAAAGTGAACCCAGACAGTGAGACGGAGCGGTGGTGCCCCCCCTCCCCCCGCCCCTGCTTTCCACCTGCTGTCATCCTGATTCCTTTGATTTTTGGTCTGATGAGTCATCTGTGAGTCATCACCCCCACAATCACTGCTGTTTTTTCCTTTTTCAACAATGAACTTGTTTTTAGCCACTGAGCCATTATATTATAGGCCAATGGATTTGGAGGCCCTTCTCCAAATACGGTTCTGGGGAAAATTTAAAAGGCTATTTAATAAAAGATTCACCATAACATGGCTGTCACTACACACTCTGCTCAAGGCTGTCATGGGCTGGCCTGTGCAGGGTGGGGTCCAGCTGGTGACCCTCTGGAGCATGACTGTGGGGCAGAATGCCCTGTCTTGGCTCCCCGGGGGCCCAGTGGGGTGGTGCCCATGCTGGGCCATGACCAATCCTGCTGCCCCTTCTCCACGTGGATTCTGTGACACCCTGGCATGGCTGCCACCACAGCGCTGGGCCAGAACACCCACCATCCGCAGGGCTCCCAGGATGGCCTCCCGCTGACCCGGGGTAGACTTCCATCCTTGTAAAATATTAACTTGTTAATGTTCTTCTGAACTCACCCATTTGCTAAGATGGTATCCCCAGAAGCCCCTTTTCTGGGGGTCTGCTCTGAGGCAGGCTGGGGATAGAACCACTTGCAGGACATAAAGCACCTCCATTTTGCAGTCACAGTCACCCCCTACCCCCCATCAGAAACCCAAGCATGGCCTCTCCTGGAGCATCTCCATCTATGAAGTCCCCGTTCCTCAGGCCACCTCCTGAATATTCTGGAATCCACCTCCTCCTCTCCAGCTCTCTTTGTCTGCCCTCGTTCAGGCCTGGTTCCATGTGCCTGGAAGACCAGGCCAGTCCCTCTCATCCTGGCCTCCCAACCCCCCCGTCCCTGCTGCCAGCCCCTGGGCAGCATCCATGCCCCCACAGGGTGAGACCGTTTACCCCTGGTCTCCCCAACTCTCTCACTCTCTCTTCCTTCCTCCTTCCCCTGCTACTTAACTCATTTCCATGTGCCCCTCAGGACTCATCTCAGAAGTCACCCTTGGGAAGCCCCCTTGACGGGCAGGTGGGGTCACTTTCTTCCCCTGGGCAATGCTTTACCCACTGTGCTGCAATGTCTGTCTGGAGCCTGTCTTCACCGTCAAGGCTCAGACGGCCGGATGGGGTGAGAACAGCTCCTCCCAGGGCTCCGGGGTGCTGTTCAGAAGCAAGGAGCAGCCCTGGGCACACATGGGACATCGCTGGGGCTGTGTCTAGGATCAGTATAAGCCACAAGAAGGTCCTGGGACACATAAAAGCCTGGGGTAATTCCTGCTCCTGCCTGATGTCCAGCCCTGGGCTGACTCATTCATGTTTTCACTCAGCAAACACCAGGGAAAGCCTCTTCCTCCTCACCATACCCCACCCCCGGGCAGGCCCCAAGCTGGGTGTCTGCGCCTAGAGGTCCTACTCCCTGTGGTGTTGGAGCCAGGCCTGGACAGGACAATGGGAGGCGGGCTCTGCTGGACATAGCTGGTGAGGGTGGGGGGCACTTTTAACCCTTCTCCGATTCCAAGAGGCCAAGATGGTCCTCAGTTCCAGAGCAGCCGAATTTCAAAAGTGGCTGCCCAAAGGGGCTGGCAGATGTCACCCAGGACCCTGGAGTCAGAGCTCTTGACTACATTTGAATCTGCTTCTGCCTGCACCTGGAGGAGGTCTTGTGGCTGGTGGGGGTGCAGGTAGGATGGCGGATAAACCACTAGGGACCAGGGGTTCATGGGTTTTGACAGCAAAACCTCCCTGAAGTGTTCGCCTGGGAGGGAGCACTGCTCACGCCACAGAAGCTGCCTGGGTGGTTGGTTGGCCTCTTGGCCCTGAGATGCAAGGGTGGGTTTCCCTGGGGCTCATTAGGCGATGGGGCACCCCCAAAGTGCAGTTAGGGCTACCAGTCAAAGGGACAGGCTCAGGGCGGTCCCTGGTGCAGATGCTCCTCTCCCCAACCAGAGCGGGCGCCCTCCAGGGGAGCCTGCATGCTGGGACCCGCGGTCAGGCCGGAGAAGCCAGGAGCGGCGCGGCACCAGTGGACAGAGCGCGAGGACAAGTCGCGGAGCCTCAGTTTCTCCAGCTAGAAACCAGTGGCGGTTGTGCAGTTTGGACGGCACACAGTAGGCCCTCAAGCGGGAGCGTGACTGCTCATCCCTCTGGCTTAGTCGAGATGAGGCCTGGGGCCCCGACCTCCGGGAACCCCACTGAGTGGCCGCTGCTCTTCGGCTTCAGGTCACTGCCGCCGCCCCCAGCCCACAACGCCCGGCTGCTCTGTGAATAGGAGTGCGCGTGCGCGGGGCCGGACGGCTGCGGCGCATCGGCACCCCCGTGTGGCCACAGCAGGAACCACCGGCCTTGTGAACAGCCGGTGATGGGGGGCTCCCGGCCTCAGAGAGCCGGTTGGGGTGATCATCTAAGGAGCGCGAACCCGAGAGCATGTGACAATCTGAAGGCGTGACAGCCCTAACAGTAACAGATCACATCTGGACACGTGGTCATCTCAGGTCCAGAGTGGTGAGTGAGTTCCCCAAGATCAGGACTGGCTCTGCCTGAGGCCCTATGTCTAACACTGTCAGTGGCATACAGCAGGTGTTTAATAAATGTTTGTGGAGTGGGAACGAGTAAGCCATCTGTGTGTGCAGTGGGGTTGGAAGTGGTCAGATGGTCACAATGTGCGTCTACACTCTGACCTTCTGGCCACCCTCAGAAAGGGCCCGTCTCCGAAGTCCCCAGCCACTGGAAGGTGGGGCAGAGAGACAGAGGGAGGCTCAGGCCCCATACAAACCGTGATGGGCCCGGCCCAGTCCCCTGCACAGGGCAGAGTAAGGCTCCCTGCACCCCTCTCCCGGAGCCTGGAAGCTTCCGGTCAGGGTGGCCTCTGCACATCACCTCTAGCCTCTCCCGCAAGAGGCCAGGCAGAACAGAGGTGGGGATGGAAGTGGGAGCTGCATGCTAGCCTGACCCTGACCCTCTCTGGGGAGGGCAGAACAGGAAGGGCAAAGACAGGGCTGCTGGTGGTGGTGATGTGGGAAACGAAGGCAGAAGAAAAATTATTAAATTTCCTTACTACTTAACAACCACATTGGGGCGCCTGGGTGGCTCAGTCGGTTAAGCGGCTGCCTTCGGCTCAGGTCATGATCCCAGGGTCCTGGGATCGAGTCCCGCAGCGGGCTCCTTGCTCTGCGGGGAGCCTGCTTCTCCCTCTCCCTCTGCCTGCTTCTCTGCCTACTTGTGTTCTCTATCTCTCTGTCAAATAAATAAATAAAATCTTAAAAAAAACAACCACTGACAAGTCCTTGAAACAAGCAGAGTGGCATTCCTCTAGGGACTCAGCTGCCTGGATGTTGACACTTTACTAAGGGCAAAAGGCAATCTTAGCTTGACCCCCAGAACCCTGTAAGTCTACTTAACGCAGAAAAATTCCTTTGGAAACTTCCTTTATCTCTAAACCCCCAAGATACATGTTGGCAGTCATCCTCCAAGCATATGATGCACTGATATACATCTGAAGGGTCTCGTGACACTTTTTACTAGACAGTAATAAATGACCCTTTCCTAACAATAGCTAGCCCCCTCAGGATCCTGGAAACCTTGCTTCCAAAATTCCTTAGAAACTTACGCTATCCCTAACCCCCTCCCAACTTGGAAGTATATATGTAATGGGCCACTCCTCACCACCCCAGAGCAGCTCTTTCTGCCCACGGGTCCCGTCCCCGTGCTTTAATAAAACCACCTTTTTGCACCAAAGACGTCTCAAGAGTTCCTTCTCAGCAGTGGGCTACGAACACTGACATCTTTCCTCTATCAGTGGGACTGCGGGCAGGGTGGGGAAGTGCGATGCGGGAGGGGTGTGTGGGCGCAGGGGCTGGGAATGAGCCCCAGGTCCTTGCCCCCCCACTCCCTGTGGCCACGCCCCAGCCACGTGGGCCAGGCTAGGGGCTGAGGCTGGGGAGGGGGTCCAGGCCAGGCTCACAGCCCACGGGCAGGGTGGGGACCTCGCTGGGTGGGATGTGGTGGGTCATGTAGCGCTTCCCCATGAAGGAGCCAATCCGCAGCTGCTCCAGGGCCTCCTCGGGCCACCACAGGCTGGAGCTGGACGGGGAGAGGAGGCGGCACTAGGTCCCTGCTGGGTGGAGCCCACTGCCAAGCCAGGGCCTCCTCCCGCAGCCTCTCCCTTTCCTTCCTTCTAGAACCAGCTGCTGGCCCACCTCCTCCAGGTGGTTGTCCTCACTACCCTGGTATCAGTTCTCTGAAGTGACTGAGGGCTGGCTGGCGAGAAAACAAGGCCCAGCAGGAGAAAGACCGGGGCCAAGGACACACTGAAAGGCAGGGCAGAGCGAGGTGGCCCCTTTTCTGAACCTGTCTTCAGAGGAGCTGCTGGGCCACCTCCCTGTCCTCCAGGTGAGAGAGACTTGGGAGCGAAATTCCCCGAACATCCCTAGAAGGGGCACCGCCAACTCAAAACTGCAAGGTTCAAGGAGGGCTTCCAGGTGCTGGGACCAGGGAGAGGGAAGGGGTTCTGCGGGGTGGGAGAGAGGCCCATGGGGCCGTCAGCACTCACAGGCGCGCAGTGGACGCTGCCAGGAAGGCCAAGAGCAGGAGGCCGGCCAGAGAGCAGAGGATGGAGGTGATGATGATCATGTCACCACTGCGCCGCCCTGGCCACGTGTCGATGGAGGCTGGCGCCTTCCCTGCACACAGCAGCTGCTCAGAGGCTGCCCCTGGACCCCAGGGCAGTCACGTCCCCACCCAGGCGCACACTCAAGGCCTGACAGCCTCCTGAGTCCACCCACCTGTTCATCTCAGCCGGGCATCTGGGCCCTGCCCTCCTGTATCACCTATGGCTCCAGCCCCTTGGTCTCACCTTCTAGGCTGTTCCTGCCAATGTGCACCCCCCACCGCCCTGCCCACAACTGGGCTGGGACCTGGGCAGCTGAGGGGTGACCAACATTTGGGCATGGACAGAGCCGATGAGGCTGACCCGGTGCCCCACCTCCCCAGCACGAGCTTCTGTTTGGGGGAGGGGCTGGACTTGGACACAGTGCCTCCAGGCCCCCAGTCTCATGGCAGCAGGGGGAGAGGACGGCTGAGCATGACCATTTGGCAGAGGGGTGATGAGTCCACAGGGGTAGACTGGAGCCGGAGCACCCCCCTCCCCCAGGGCTACCTTGGTGGAGAGCAATGGGGTCGGACCACCTGGTCTCGGCCAGGGGTGAGCCCCTGGCGTCCATCAGGAGGAACTTCACTCTGCGGGGAGGAGAAGGGGGGAAGTCTGAGCCTCAGCTGCCCTGGGCAGGGCGCCCACAGCGGCCAAGCTCCATGCAGTTCTGGGCCAGGCTCTTCTGGGGCACATCGGGACCAGCCGTGGCCTGGTCCCCCTCTGGGGGCCCTCTGAGACTACACTGACCACAGTGACCTCTGCCATCAGTCCCAGTGCATCTGAGCTGTTGCTCTCCAGACACCCCATCTGGTTTAGGGGACCCCAGTCACTAAATGTCACATACACAGTGCCTCAGGGTGGCTCAGTGGGTCAGATGGAGCTGGGAGCCCCAGGCCTCCCAGAGAAAACGGCTGGCCAAGTAGCATCTAGGAAGCCATAGAAGGCCCCCCGCTAGGCTCGGGCACCCTAAGCAAAGGGCCAGGGAGGGAGGGGTGTGGTCAGGGCACACTCAGAGCCTGGGGTCCCAGGGAGGGGTCGGGCTGAGCACTGAGGGCACCAGAGGCCGCGCAGGGAGGTTGTATCTTTGCGTCAGGTGGGGAGCCCTGGAAAGTGTCTGAGCATGGAGGGACCCAGGCAGGCTGGCACAGAGGACAGCCAGCTCCGGTGGCTGCTAGGGATGGGGGCAGGAGGTAAGAGGAGGCCGAGCCAGGAAGTGGGCATGGGGGAGGTGGGAGGGTGGTCCTGTCAGGGCAGGGGCCGCGCAGGGGCAGAGGGAGGCTGTGGATGGAAGCGCCGGTCCAGCCCACACCACGCCCCACCTTCCCTGCACCCCGTGCTGGTTCTCTCGGCCGGACTTGGACTCCCTGAGGACCCCTGGGCCTGGCTCTTCTGGGGCACATCGGGACCAGACCCCATCTGGACACCTGCTCTCCCACCCTTGCTCCCTCCGTGACCCTGACAAGCCCATGGTGCCCTGCGCCTCAGCTTCTTCACCGGAGAAAGTGGGTGGTGGTCTTATTTCCTGCTTCCCTGCCTCATACCCACTGCTTGGGCCCGGACTCAGCCTGGGGCTTAGATTCCTGCCAGATCTACCCATGGATTAGTGGCTGCAGCCCAGCAGCCCCCACCTCCCAACTCTGGGCCTGAGACCCCACCAGCCCTGTGGTGCCCACTTCTTCCTCATGGGCAGGCCTCCTGGAGAGGCCACATTCTGCCTGCCCCCCAACTGGGATGAGTGCTGCTCCTTGACCCCACAGAGGCATAAACCAAAGCTTGTGAAGGGGAAGGGTCTGGGGAGAGGCTAGGAAGGGCAGCTCTCTAACCCGAGACCCCTTCTCCCCCAGCACAGCCCCTGTCCCAGGGTCCAGGTGGAGTGACCCACCTGTAAGGTCCAGGGCTGGGGAGGGGGCTGTTGCAGTAGGGCGGCTGGTGGAGGTCAGCAAGGCAGCCGGGGTCACTGCCAACCCGCAGCAGGGGGACGTCCCTGTTGCCACCCTTGGGGTCCTCACAGGGCAGCTGGTCCAGGGATAGGGGCAGCGTCATATAGTGGCCATCAGTCAGCAGCCGTGGGAAGGCTGGGATCTCAGCTCGTGTCTGCGGGTTCTGGAAGTCCCTGGAGGCTGCAGGAGAAAGGGACAGACAGATGGGGCTAGAGGGCCTAGCCCCTTGCTGGGTCTAAGGCTCCACGCCGGCCCCTCCCCGCCCCCCACGCCTGGCCCCTCCACGCCTCAAGGGCCCAGAAGCTCCCTCCAGGCACAAACCAGGTTACTTTGTCACCCTCTCAGAGCCCGTCAGGATAAAGCGCAACACCTGGTCCACCACTGGGCAGCTCTCCTCAGCCCCAGACCCGCACCGTGACACACCATTGCTGAAGGCCACCACCAGCCAGATGGTGTTGGCAACGCTGGCATGCCCATCCAGGACACAGCGAGGCTGCTCCAGGGAGAATGTGGTGGCTGTGACCTTTCCTTCCAGGTCCCAGGCTGTTATCTGCGGCGTGTAGGGGATCAGCTCTGTGGCCACGGAGATAGGCATGAGGGTCCTGGGACCTGCTCCCCGCCTCCCCCGTTGGGAGCGGGGGGGCTCCCAGGATCCAATCACCCCAGCGGATGTCCCAGCCCCTTGGGTCCAGCCGGGTGAGTTCATCCCAGGAACCCCACTCACCCAGGCTCATACAGGATGGGGGCCAGACCAGTGCCCCCACGAGGAGGAGCAGGACCGATGGGCCAGGCTGCCTCTGGGGGAGCCCCATGATGGCCACCCGAGCTCAGCTTTCTTCCACATCCGCAGCCTGGGGCTGATCTGGCTACCTCCTGCCCCACCCCCGCCCCAGCACCTTGAGCCTGGAGGAGCCGGTTAGTCAGGCTGAGAGGCTGGCCAAGGCCTGGAAAGACCTGAAAATGTAAATGCACCCCACCCTCTCCCACCAGCCTGGCCTACCCTGAGGGGGCTGGGCTGGGCTATAGGGTGGGGCAGGCCAGTGCCAGGCCCCAGTGCAGGACTGAAGGGGATGCCACCAGATCTCCAGATGCCAGCCCGGCCACCAGAGTCCCATGTCTGAATTGGGGCCCCAGCTAGCCTCCCTGCCCTGGAGAGGACCCAGTCTCTGGAAACATGGGCTCAGGGCCACATGCCTGAGATTCCTGCACCCCAAGTGCCAGGAGCCTCCCTCTGGCCTTCCATCTCCACCCAGAGAGTGGGAGCAGGATGCAGAGGCCCCAGCCCACCTGTCCAGCTCCAGCCCCAGGACAGCCCCCCCGGTCCTACTGCCATCTCAGCACCCTGCCCTCCCTCCACAAGGCCACGTTCTTGTCTAACAGGAGTCTGGAATCAGAGAAAGGACCTTTGACAGCTGACAAGCCTCCCACTTACTTTACTCCTTTTGGTTCTATTTTTTTGTTAAGATATAATTAAAAAAAAAAGATAATGCACATAAAATTCATCCTTTTAAAATGTACAGCACAGTGGGTTTTCACAAGGTTGTGCAAACATCACCACTAAGTTCAGAACATGTGCATCACCCCGAGAGGACACGCTGTACCCATGATAAGTCACTCCCCATTCCCCGCTCCCCCAGCAACCATCTACTCTCAGCCTCTGCGGACTTCCCTGTACTGAACATTTCACATCGCCAGAATCACACAAGTGGCGATCTGGGGCTGGCTTCTTTCACTTAGCGTTCTGTTGTCCAGGTTCATCCATGATGTAGCGTGTGGCCGGCCTCGCTCCAGAACTTTCCCTCCACTGTATGGAGACCGGGCATTTTGTTTCCTGGCCCCTCAGCGGACAGTTGGGCTGTTCCCACTTTTTGGCTGTTATCAATAATGTTGCCACGAGCGTTCACGTACAAGTTTTGTGTGGACCTGTTTTCTGTTCTTGGATACATGCCTAGGGGTGGAATCGCCGAGTCATAGGGTAACTACTTTTTTTTTAAGATTTTATTTTTAAGCAATCTCTACACCCAACATAGGGCTCGAACTCAAGAGTCAGTCACATGCTCTATTGAATGAGTCAGCCAGGCGCCCCCAAAACCCCAAACTTTTAGGTGGAAGAAAAATGCTTTAATATATAATATACTCATCTTTACACCAACACATAAAACAGAATTTAATTTTTTTTTTCTTATGGAGAAAAAGGGCTTATGGAGGCAAAAGTACCCCTGGCCCACTCAGGATGTGGCCGGTGTCCCTGTAGTCCCGGGCCACAGTCACTGCCCCCAGACAGATGGCAGGCTGGGGTATTTGATCCTCCTAAGAGGGTTGAGAAGAATTAGAACTTCGAGGATGGGGTCAGACCAGCCCTGGCCCCATTCCAGGCCCAGCTCTACTGCGAGCCTGGGACCCTGGGCCAGTCACTGCATCCTTGAACCTGTTCCCTCATCCAGAACCTGGAAGCCAGCAGCACCCGCCACGGCAAGCAGCATCTTACTCGGGGAGTAAATGGGACGGCGGGCCTGGCAGAGTCGCTGGACCACACTTGGTGAGGAGAACTGGTGGGGATGGGGCAGCAGCCCAGGTCAGGGGGCGGGCTCCCGGGCCTCACCACAGCTTGGTCATTGGGGAACGCGGGTCGAACAGGCAGTCTTCGGCTCCCTCCTGCTCGGATGCAGCAGGATGCACGCACATGCACACACCCACACACAGCCTCTCCACCGACAAACACACCAGGGCCTGCTGACTTTGGCTATAGGGCATTTATTGCAAACGGAACATCTGAGGTATGAGAAGCTAACCTGGAACCCACGCCTGCCCTGGCTACGATGGGGCAGTCTCGCCTCGCCCCACGCCAGGCCCCCGGCACTATGGACCCAAAGCAGCCCGCAAAGGGCAGGGCCCCACGCTCTGAGGTAGCTGTATCTGAAGCCCCCACAGCACAACTCCCCAGGCTTGCCCAACTCCCACACAGATCCAGGCCTGGAGGGGAGGAGGGGGGTGGAAGGCAGGCCCCGACAAACACTGCAGCCTCGGAGGAAAGGCACCTTCCTACCTGCCCATCCCAGGGACAGCCCAGCCGGCAGCGTGGGGAGAGGGTGGCTGGCTGCTGGAGGCAGGCGGGGCGGGGCTGGGGCCGGCCAGGCTGCGGGGGTCACTGCTGCTCCAGGCAGTCCTCGGTCACCCCCTGGGCAGCCAGCTCGGCCAGCACATTCTGCAGGTAGTTGGGGTCAGGGTAGCCGTGGCCTGTCACATTGCGGTCCATCTCTGTCTTGTGGTGGATCTCGTTCCACACCACTGTGTCCGTCTCTCCCGTGGTGCTGGACGTCCCTACTGTGAAGATAAGTCGCCTCTTCCAGGCCACCTTCAGCAGCTCCAGGACCTGCCATGGGGGAGGGAGAGGGAGGGGGAGGGAGGGCCTGGTGAGCGAGCGCAGGCCTGGGCACGGGTTTTTCACCCCGGAGCAGCGGGGCGCCGGGGCCGGTTGACAGCTGCTGGCATCCACTGCTCGTGCCCCTTCCCGGGTCTGACCTGCCCCAGCAGTGGGGGCCAGGATGGGCACAGCGGCCACCCACCCTGTGCCAGCCGTGGGTGGGGCGAACCAAGGCGCGCGAAGCCCCCTCTCTCCGACCTGTACTGTGACCGCCGGCAGGACCGGGGTCGGGCCGCTCTCCTAAGTGAGCCCACCCACAGTCCCGGGCCTGGAGCCCCATCGGTGGGGGTCCCTGGCCTCTGGCTCCAGTCCTAATTCCTCTCGCAGAACTCTACCTGCTGACCTCACCGCCCAAGAGGACCCCACACCTCAGAGGGCGCCGCCATCCGCTGCTCAAGCCACACCTGGGGCCGGTCTAACTCGACCCTACTTCCAAGTCGGCCTCTCCCTCCCGAGGGAGCCCGCGCCTCTCTGCTCCCCCACACCCAGTACCTGCCGGCCAGGCTCCCAGCAGCCAGAGGTAGCTTTTTCAAACCTCCAACCAGCAACACCCAGGGCGGCCTAGGGGTGCCCGATGCCCCACTGCCCCCACAAGGGGCTCTGGTCCTCCCCAGACTTCCCAGCCTCCAGCCCGGTCCACCTGCTGCCACTCACGAGCTGCTCTGTCTGCCGGGAATGCTCTCCCTAGCCTCAGCGCAGAGGTAGCTCTGCGGGCCGTCCCAGTCACCCAGTCCTTTCCTGTCCCCCCCACCCCCGCCCCCACCCCACTGATCTCGTCACGCTAACCTGACTGAAGACCAGGTGACCTGGCCTGAGAGGTTGATGAAAGAGGCCTCCCCTCCAGTCATCTCTCCTGGGGGAGCATGCCTAATGCACAGCAGCCCCTGGGAAGGAGGGGCCAGCACCCCAGCCAGCCCCAGAAGAAGAAGGTGAGCAGAGCAGAGCAGAGCAGGTATGGCCACCAGGCTGGGCCCTTCCCCACCCCACCTGCTCGAACTGGCCACAAGCAGCCAGGCACAGGCCTACCAGCCGGGGGGCCCCTTCCTCACCTTGCGGCCCTGGGCGTTGTCTGGAAGGTAGCACTGGCGGGGAAACCCCCTGGCGGTGAATGGCTTCCCGGGGTTGGGGTGCTCTGGGCCCTGCAGGAGGAACGCAGACACCAGGTGTGGGAGCGTCCTGAGAGGGGCCCAGCAGCCCAGCCCACCCTCTGCCTCCCCGGCCAGGGCTACTCCTGCACTTGGGACCAAATAAATCCGTGTCTCAGATCCCGCCCCTCAGAGACGGGAACATGACATGGCCTTCCCTGACGCCATGCCACTCGGTCTGGCACAGACACTCCTGCTAACTGATGAGACCAGAACTCATCAAAGGCCGAGGCACACGCTCCCACCCCGCTGGTGCCCCTCCGGGCTCTGTGGCTGAGATGGCAGGGCCTCCTTCCTGATGCCCTCACCCCTTGCTTGAGACGGGGCCACAGCGGGGCCTGGCACAGGGGCAGCAAACAGGACGGGAGGGGAGGGGAGGGGGCTAGAACGGTGGAAGGCCCTCTGCCACTCAGAGGCACATCACATACACCTCCAAACCTCCCCCTCCGCTCCCCGTCCCCCACTCTGTGGCTCTAAGGCTGTCGGGAATGTTTTTAAAATTCACTATGACCCCCTGAGAAGCAGCAGAGGGAAACCAGGGAAAAGCATGTGGTTGAACAAAACAGGGACACCCCACCTGTCACAGACGGGCCCCTCTGGGTCCTGGTCTCCACTGCCCGGTACCTTGCCCACCTGTCACCAGTTCTGAGGTCAGCCCTGGCCCAAGCAGGAGGCCGAAAGGCCCAGGGCTCCTATGTGGGTCTCTACTGGGACCCTGGGACCTTCTGCTCAGGTTCCCGTCTTGTTCTTGACATTAGAGCCGGCCCCACCACACCCAAGGCAGGCCTGGATCTGGCCACTGAGCTGGCCTCTCAAGAGCAACTGCCCTCACTGTTGGCACCTCCCTGCCCTGTGGGATCCCCCGTTATTCAGCCCCTCAACACGAGCATTCTTCCTGCTTCATACACTTGGCCTTCTGCCCAGTACAAGTCCAGCTACGATGTCTCCGCCTCCAGGATGCCCTCCCTGCATCAGGAAAGGGCTGAAGGCCACCTCTTTGCTTCCACAGCCCTAAAAGCTTGTTCCCTCCCCAGGCACTGGTGCCTCCTGGTTCCTGGGAGCCTGAAATCGGGAGGCTGGGGCCTCCTGAGTGCCCCAGGGATCAGACCACTGGGAGAGGGGTGGCGTAGGAAGAAGACTGCCCCAGAGTGAGAGGGACCAATTCTAGAACGATCCCAGGAGGCTCCTCTCGTGCCCCTTACCTGGATGCCGTGAGGAATGTTGTAAACTATGAGTATTGTTCCGCAGTCCTCATGGCCGGGTAGGGATACCTGGAACTTGAACACCTCCATCTTCCCCCGGGGCTGGGTCCCAGTTTTCTCCCCGTAGATGGTCTTGCAGGAAGGACACTGCAAACTTCCGTCCTGAGACAAAGCAGAGCACCCCGGACTGAGCCGGTGGCCCTGAGAGAGTGCCTAGCACGGCCCCCTGCCCCACAGCAGGTCCCCAGCTCGTCCCTCCCACTCCCTCACGACCCCAACGGCTTCCCTGGAAAGACGGTCGACATGGGAGC